GTGCAACCTCCAAAACAGACTGATAAGGTAGATGCTCTCCGTAGCTCATTTCACTCTTCAGAGACCGATTGTATTTGAGAACCTGTTGTTCTCTTTACCAGCAGATCATACCTTGGGGTTATTATTGTATGTCTCAAGCTTGACTTTTCAACATTCAGCTAGAAGTATTTTTCTTCTTCCTGTAAAGTCTTGTTGCGGGACGATTTTGAGATCCGCTACAAATGTCTTTCCAAATATCTCGTCAAGTATTCTCTTCACTCACACCATTCAATCTAGGAAACCTTTTAAGTTTAACATACAAGGATAAGTGCAATTTGTGACACCATTTTCCTATAATTATTCAGGCTTTGTAATGTAGAAATATTGCAATAAGACCGCCTTAATTATAAAGTGAATTAACTTCTAAGTTGTGTATTTGTAATTAATACAATTTTACTTTGTATTATTTAATTTAAGACCCTCCAGATTGCTGCCTCATTTCTACGTTTTGGTCTCGGTCAGTTGTTAAAAGCTCAATACTTTTGTATAATCTGAAAATTAGAATGTATCATAACTGTACTATCTGACGTGAAATGTGAATTTAGCATTTTGTGTCAAAAACAGTCCGCTGTTACATAGCCATGACCGTTTTAAGGAACTCCAGTTTTCATGCATTTATTTGTTGTGGTATTTTCTACTTCAAACAGACATTTTTGTAGAACACAGTTGTAAATCGTTGATAGATATGCATTCAGTAATGAACAGTGAAGTAGTTTTCATTAAGTATACTTAGGGCCAGGAGTTTTATCTGACCATGCGTCATGACCAGGATTAAACTCTGGGACCTAGGGCTCGATTAAATCTGTATCGCGATTTGCCGAACATCCACTGTATAGCGTGATTGATATGTAAAGATCATTTTTCATTGAGCCGACATATGCAGCGTTTACCGTGAATGCATTTTCTGCAAACGCGGGAACATTGCCTTTAAATTTCAATCGTGCTTTACCGTGGATCTTCCGCGACACGGATTGAATTGATCCCCTAGGCCTAGTCTATAACTATGGGCTACAGTTTTTCCTGACCAGGAAATTCTCCTTGCCCTAATATAGTGAATTAGCTATTCCAGTCGCATCCATCCATCAGTTTCACTTCTTGTATTTCAAACTTTACAATGAAACATTCCTCTTCCTGTATTTTGTAAATACTTGTAGATGCTATAACCTTTTTCTACAGTTTGTTTTTCAAATACTAATCTGAAAAAATGCAACCATGCAAGTGTATGTCACTTTTTATCTGTGTGTAGCTCTATTGGAATGTTTCTTCCAATGATTTATTCGATAAAGAAAACATTGTCTATGTTTAGCGTCTGTATCTGCATGATTGTTTGTACATTTTTAGTATGTATAAAAGATATTTGGAAAGATCCTCCTATTTCCTATCCTGTGTATACAATGTGTACTGCTCACCTATCCTGTATACAATGTCAAACTGTCATGACCTCATCTGTTCTGTCTCTCAAATGACACTCTATTCCCCATATATTGCACTTACAGTTGAAGTCGGAAGTTTACATACACCTTAGCCAAATACATTTAAACTCAGTTTTTCACAATTCCTGACATTTAATCCTAGTAAAAATTCCCTGTCTTAGGTCAGTTAGGATCACCACTTTATTTTAAGAATGTGAAATGTCAGAATAATAGAGAGAATGATTTATTTCAGCTTTTATTTCTTTCATCACATTCCCAGTGGGTCAGACGTTTACATACACTCAATTAGTATTTGGTAGCATTGCCTTGAAATTGTTTAACTTGGGTCAAACGTTTCGGGGAACCTTCCACAAGCTTCCCACAATAAGTTGGGTGAATTTTGGCCCATTCCTCCTGACAGAGCTGGTGTAACTGTGTCAGGTTTGTAGGCCTCCTTGCTCGCACATTCTTTTTCAGTTCTGCCCACATATTTTCTATAGGATTGAGGTCAGGGCTTTGTGATGGCCAATCCAATACCTTGACTTTGTTGTCCTTAAGCCATTTTGCCACAACTTTAGAAGTATGCTTGGGGTCATTGTCCATTTGGAAGGCCTATTTGCGACCAAGCTTTAACTTCCTGACTGATGTCTTGAGATGTTTCTTCAATATATCCACATAATTTTCCTTATGATGCCATCTATTTTGTGAAGTGCACCAGTCCCTCCTGCAGCAAAGCACCCCCACAGCATGATGCTGCCACCCCCGTGCTTCACGGTTGGGATGGTGTTCTTCGGCGTCCCCCTTTTTCCTCCAAACATAATGATGGTCATTATGGCCAAACAGTTCTATTTTTTGTTTCATCAGACCAGAGGACATTTCTCCAAAAAGTACGATCTTTGTCCCCATGTGCAGTTGCAAACCGTAGTCTGGCTTTTTTATGGTGGTTTTGGAGCGGTGGTTTCTTCCTTGCTGAGCGGCCTTTCAGGTTATGTCGATATAGGACTCGTTTTACTGTGGATATAGATACTTTTGTACCTGTTTCCTCCAGCATTTTCACAAGGTCCTTTGCTGTTGTTCTGGGATTGATATGCACTTTTCGCACCAAAGTACGTTCATCTCTAGGAGACAGAACGCGTCTCCTTCCTGAACGGTATGACGGCTGCGTGGTCCCATGGTGTTTATACTTGCGTACTATTGTTTGTACAGATGAACGTGGTACCTTCAGGCGTTTGGAAATTGCTCCCAAGGATGAACCAGACTTGTGGAGGTCTGCAATTCTTTTTCTGAGGTCTTGGATGATTTATTTTGATTTTCCCATGATGTCAAGCAAAGAGGCACTGAGTTTGAAGGTAGGCCTTGAAATACGTCCACAGGTACACCTCCAATTGACTCAAATGATGTCAATTAGCCTATCAAAAGCTTCTAAAGCCATGACATAATTTTCTGGAATTTTCCAAGCTGTTTAAAAGCACAGTCAACTTAGTGTATGTAAACTTCTGACCCACTGGAATTGTGATACAGTGAATTCTAAGTGAAATAATCTGTCTGTAAACAATTGTTGGAAAAATGACTTGTGTCATGCACAAAGTAGATGTCCTAACCGACTTGCCAAAACGATAGTTTGTTAACAAGAAATGTGTGGAGTGGTTGAAAAACAAGTTTTAATGACTCCAACCTATGTGTATGTAAACTTCCGACTTACACTGTATATGCGAAAGGTAGTGCACTACATGGCAAATAGGGTGCCATTTGAGACATAACCTTGGGTTTGTAGACTGGAGTAACAGTTATTCAGTGATTTCTCCAGTCAAATTCCCTCCAGATTGGTTTTCTTGCATTCCAGACAACCTAGTTACAGCTTTAGTTCTAAACACCAAACCATTGTTTTGTACGTATATTTTTAGTAACATTGTTTTTATAACAAAAAGGTGTAGAATGAATAGAAGGGTGCTTACATGTTAACTACTGGTTGATGAGCGCAATATATTTCTGTTTAAACACATTTAAAAGGCATACACCTTTTTAGTAACCCTTTTATTTATTTGAGACACTAAAATAGTATCCTTAGCATTTTGTATTAGTGCTTTTGTATCAATTTCAGTCTCTTCTGTTAGTGTATTAAGATATTTGCCAGTATTTTTTTGTTTTTATAGAATTTGTTCTGATTTTTCTATTTTTATTATTCTCATGCAAAGTGACCAAGTCTAGATTTCCCCATGAGTAGTTAAATTCAGCTCTACACTACTGCATGATATGCAGACAATTATTACACCTGTGTTGAATGGAATTTTATTTTATCACTCGTGATTTTTAGTGACTAATTCTGCTTCACAATTCAATGTGAATGTCTTGTCCTGTATTATCATTGATATTTACTCCAAGGCCAACTTTACAGCATTCGAAAGTATGTGCATTATTGAGCTCTTTTCCTAAAGTATATTGATATTATTTGATTCTGTGTGTCAGACTGTAATTTAAAGAGCTGGGATATTTATTGCCACAATAGAGACCTTTATATATTTTGATTGCACTTTCGGCCATGTTAAAAAGACTATCAGATAAGGCACAATAGTACTGTTGTGTTAACTATTGTTTAGCTCAACATGCTTCCCTTTTAATAAAGACCATATCTAAAGTAAAAAGTGGACAATGCACTGGATTTAAATGATTATCAAGTTAAGGTTATACGGTTAATCCACTTAATTCAGAGTAAAACATTTTAAACTATAGCTAGTGTGATTGTGATTGAAAAATGTCCTTATTACACAACTGAAAAGGAATAACTGTATATTCCCCCTTGTTAGATTTAGCTTTCACAACCTTGTTAATGATAAAATCTCATATGGTATTTCCCCTATTGTCTAAACTTTGTTTATACTGTGTACTTGCAATAAACATATTTTTTGGCTCTTTGAATTTAATCTCAAGTGTTATTTCTGTTTGGGAAGGTGCAGAGAATAATTTTAACAAACCATAATCTTTTAAATCCATATTCAGAATAAAAATATTATTTTATTATCCTCTTCTTTCATTCAACAGGCAACCAGAGGTTTAATCCAAACGGCTTAATCCGAATGGCTTCTACAAACTCTTAGAGTTCTTGAAGGCTTAACTTCCTTACTATCAAAATCATTGGAAGACAAAGCCTTAACCACACTACAGCCTTTATTGAACACGGGAACCAAAATGATTTAGAAAATGAGTACAGTAAGGTGCATAATAAGCAGCGCTTTCATCTGTATAAAAAAAATGTGTGCATGTCAAATCTGAAATCCGTTAAAGATCTGGGCTAAACAAATTGCAATTTCCTATCCTTCATTAAAACATACATTCATAACAAAAACTTGATTATATGGATAATATTTTCTCAGAAAATAAGCCTGAACTGTCACTTGAACTTGTTTACATGTGCAGAACTAAATCAACAACCTCATTCATGAAGAGCTAAATTGTGGAGAGAGGCAATGACAGAAAAAGTAATTATTTTCATTTAAGCGTTAGAGGCCTCTTTCTTTTATGGCTGTTGATTGGTCCCCAGTGGATTCACCGTGTTCCGGCTGCGCTGTGATTGGACGGAGGGATGTATTGATCCGACACAAACGAGGTGGGTGCAGGGGTCTCCGTGACAACAGGCAACAGGACTTGACGACAGACAGGGCAAGTCCCAGACTAGAGAGGGAAGATACCATAACAGTCAATATAAACAATCATATCACTTAATTAAAAGACATTCTGACACAGGCCAGGTGCAAGACTAAAGATAGACTGATGCCACCATCCTCATTTAAATGACATGCAAACATGCATGTACATAAATGCTTTAGAAAGGTTAGTGTAAAAAAAATAAGTCATTCTCCACACACAGAGGCCCTCAGTCAGTCACACACAGGCTCAGTCACACACATACCTTCTGGAGCCAGAGAGTCACGCACATCTTGTGGAACATGTGGTGGCATGGCAGCTGGGTTGCAATCTCATCTTTGACGTACTCACAACAGCAGATGGCACAGCACTGTTCCTGCCCTAGAGAGAGAGGGGGACAGAAATAAAAGGATAAAGATTGAGGGACACAGAGAGAGAAAGACCGAAGGACAAAGAGAAAGAGTGATGAAGGAAAGAAGGATATAAGAGAGACGCCAAGAAAGGCCCAGTCATACTGACACGGAGGTACACAGGAAGTACTAATTGTCAGAGAACGGCGCCGCGCCATCTATCCCTTCATGTTCTACAGCCCCAGCCTCAACCACCACATCCACTCTGTTCTGTATTCACAGCCCCACACGTTCACATTCCATCAGGCTCGATCCACGTGCACACAGATGGAACTGCACGCTCCGACAAATGTCATGACGAATGGCGGCCATCTTGCCTCAACGCCTGCATGCCGTGATTTATTCCAGAGGACGCGTGGCGTGTCATAAACTTGACGCGGCACCGGTGCATGAAAATGTTCTCTTCCCCCCTCTCTCACACATTTACATGATGTGCCATTCATATTATGCATTGCGTTACGCGCGGCCAGTTATTTCTTATCGTGGCACCACATCACTATTCATACGGCTCTGTAACAGCGGGATATTGCCATACGGAATGCATCGATGTGTTGAGAGATTGCGAAACCTCTTTTTATGATCCATTCTGTGGCAGAGTTAGCAGACTCTAATAAACACAGTGCTTTACGTCTTTATACACTACGTGACCAAAAGTATGTTGACACCTGCTCGTCAAACATCTCACTCCAAAATCATGGGCTTTAATATGGAGTTGGCCCCCCCTTCGTGCTGCTATAACAGCCTCCACTCTTCTGGGAAGGCTTTCCACAAATGTTGGAACATTGCTGTGGGGACTTGGTGAGGTCGGGCACTGATGTTGGGCGATTAGGCCTGGCTCGCAGTCGGCGTTCCAATTCATCCCTCCCGATCAGGTGTTCGATGGGGTTGAGGTCTGAGCTCTGTACAGGCCAGTCAAGTTCTTCACACCGATCGACAAACCATTTCTGTATGGACCTCGCTTTGTGCACGGGGGCATTGTCATGCTGAAACGGAAAGGGCCTTCCCCAAACTGTTGCCACAAAGTTGGAAGCACAGAATCGTCTAGAATGTCATTGTATGCTGTAGTGTTATGATTTCCCTTCACTGGAACTAAGAGGCCTAGCCCGAACCATGAAAAACAGCCCCAGACCATTATTCCTCCTCCACCAAACTGGCACTATGCAGTCGGACAGGTAGCGTTCTACTGGCATTCGCCAAACCCAGATTTGTCCGTCAGACTGCCAGATGGTGAAGCGTGATTGATAAGTCCAGAGAACGCATTTCCACTGCTCCAGAGTCCAATGGCGGCGAGCTTTACACCACTCCAGCCGACGCTTGGCATTGAGCATGGTGATCTTAGGCTTGTGTGCGGCTGCTCGGCCATGGAAACCCATTTCATGAAGCTCCTGACGTGTGCTGACGTTGCTTCCAGAGGCAGTTTGGAACTCGGTAGTGAGTGTTGCAACCGAGGACCGATGATTTTTACGAGCTACGTGCTTCAGCATTCGGCGATCCCATTCTGTGAGCTTGTGTGGCCTACCACTTTGCGTCTGAGCCGTTGTTGCTACTTACACCCAGAATGACTGACAATCTCTATTTCTGCCAATGCAAAGCGGGCAATTGCACACATTAACAATACAGCCAATTCAAAGGGAACGGAGGGAAGGGCTAGTCTGTTAGGATAAGAAGATGTGGTCTTCTAGTACTGTGAATTTACCACTGTGGTCCTCCAATATGGTGATCTGAGGCAGACACTCGATGATCTGTTCTGTAGCAGGAGGGTGAGCCTGCTCCACGTCGATGGACAGAGACTCCAGGTGGGCTAAAGCCGCCTGTGAACCAAACAGAAGAACATTAGGTGCCAATGTCCCCATGTATTAACATGCTAGTTACATGGGCGGGTACAATGAAATTACAGTGTAGGTAGGTACATATTTTTAGGAATGTGTCTTGATGTTGTACAAGACAGCAACACGGTCTGTCAACTTAGGATGGCACTATCTTGAAAAGCACACTTGAAGCAAACCTTTTAGAGATGGAATGGTGTTGAACAAATATGGTCCTAAGATGCTTCCATTTGCACTTATGCCTTAAGTGACTCGTGTCATTGTTGGCAAGGCAAACCCGTTTTCATGATTTCTGGTATATCATCAAAATCAACCAATCACAGCACATTTTTGGACTCATTCAGCAGTTTTTACCTGATTAAGTAGAATACTATTGTAAATTAATGTTGAAAGTTCCATTCATATTCCTGAAACAAGTTGAAATTATGCTGTTCTGCTTCCTGTTGACAAGAACTTTTGATAAATAGCCCAATGTCAAAACACTGTTTTGAAGTGTCCAAATCAATAGTCAATATGCAGAAACAGTTTGTGTTATATTGAAAACATAAAATGTACTACCTACATGTGCCACAACAGTAATCATATTACTTGTATTTTACTAAAATAGCACCTTATAAACTGCATATGCAAAAGAAAACAGTTGATAAGTGGCAATAAATCACTCATATCGATTAGGGGGGGAAATCAGATTGTATGCGCTGTTGAAACGAACCAAAAAAAAACACATTTTTTACATCACTGGTTAGAGAACAACCTGCAGAAGACTGTCTGCTACATTTTAAAGTGTTGGATTTTGAAAGGGAATAAGGTTGCACGTCCTGTAAAACCTAGCACAGCTCCAAAAACCACACGGAATCTGGGAATCATTTATATATCACCGGTAGAGGACAACTTCTAGAAGACAGCCAGCTGAACTGTTGCCAACGCGGTAAGTGTAATGCAACACTTTTGTTAATCGCTCATATCGATTACACGTTGAAATCAATAGAACGGGGGTCAAAACATTTGGGTTGTATGCGCTGTTTAAACATACATTATACAAAGACCACACGGAAACTTGGAATAATCTATATATGATTGGTTAGATGATCATTTGTAGAAGGCTTCTATCTATATTTTGGAATGGCGGATTACATTTCGGGAGGCTGCCATCACGGAAAATGGAACAAACCACTTTCAACTAATCACGACCCGCTATAGGATATCAACAGTGACAACTGTTGGCTGCTATTTCAGTGATAGTTTGACTGTCAAATCCGTGTATTGGTGTGTGGCCAGCGACTTTTATAGAGAGACCACCCTAGTCTGTCCATTTGAATTAGAAAATGACAGTTCTAAGTCCTGCAAACCCCAGCATGTGACAAAATCAACAGTACAAAATCAAAGATACTGATCTGTTTTAAGCAATCGATCTTAAATCATCGTGATGACTAAACTTTTATATTAACACCACCAATCTGAGGTAAAAAGGATGTGTAATTCCCCCCAATTCGATGTGTTCAAAATGTGAGCTTGTGTAATGTAGTAACACATTTGTCCACATCAAGGAAAGTAGCGTAACATAAAATAATTCAATATGGTAAAAACAATTCCATATTTAATTTTAGGATGATAGTAAATAAAGCAACCTTGCAAAATTTTACAATAATCATATATAACTGTATTTTCACTAGTTTAACCAAAAATTATCTTATGCACAATTTCACTGGGTGCTCTAGAACGAGTTCCCATATTGACTACGCAGCAGCCCGTGCATTCACTGTCCCTAGTAGAGTCTAGGGTTTGGGCCTTACCTCCATAGCTTGGGCAAGGCGCTCTTCAAGAGCCATGTATGTGAGGAGCTGAGGATCCACATAGGAAATAGCCTGGGCCATCCCAAAGCCCTCTCCAAAGTCATCAAGCAACCTAAGATGAAGCAAAACAAATGTAATTTCATTATGTAGATATTTCTCATATAACAATAGCAAACCATGTCAATTCACATGGTCAGGGAAAACTCCTGGCCTTACATACATCTTACACTTAGGAAGTGAAACTACCATGTTCTAAAAGTCAACAAAGTACAGTCAAACATTCACACCTCCAGGAAAAAAAGGATCTATTCTCATTGACAGTTGCCCCCCTCTAAGCAGGGCAGTATAAACAGAATTGTGGCAGAGCCCCACCTGTTTTCAGCCCCACCAGTTTAGCTATAAAAATATATATATATATATACATACAGTGAGGGAAAAAAGTATTTGATCCCCTGCTGATTTTGTACGTTTGCCCACTGACAAATACATGATCAGTCTATAATTTTAAACCATAGGTTTATTTGAAGAGTGAGAGACAGAATAACAACAAAAAAATCCAAAAAAATGCATTTTTTTTATTTTATAAATTGATTAGCATTTTAAATGAGGGAAATAAGTATTTGACCCCTCTGCAAAACATGACTTAGTATTTGATGGCAAAACCCCTGTTGGCAATCACAGAGGTCATTTTGTTCCACTCCTCTTTGCAGATCTTCTCCAAGTCATTAAGGTTTCGAGGCTGACGTTTGGCAACTCGAACCTTCAGCTCCCTCCACAGATTTTCTATGGGATTAAGGTCTGGAGACTGGCTAGGCCACTCCAGGACCTTAATGTGCTTCTTCTTGAGCCACTCCTTTGTTGCCTTGGCCGTGTGTTTTGGGTCATTGTCATGCTGGAATACCCATCCACGACCCATTTTCAATGCCCTGGCTGAGGGAAGGAGGTTCTCACCCAAGATTTGACGGTACATGGCCCCGTCCATCGTCCCTTTGATGCGGTGAAGTTGTCCTGTCCCATTAGCAGAAAAACACCCCCAAAGCATAATGTTTCCACCTCCATGTTTGAAGGTGGGGATGGTGTTCTTGGGGTCATAGGCAGCATTCCTACTCCTCCAAACACGGCGAGTTGAGTTGATGCCAAAGAGCTCGATTTTGGTCTCATCTGACCACAACACTCTTACCCAGTGCTCCTCTGAATCATTCAGATGTTCATTGGCAAACTTCAGACTGCCTTGTATATGCGCTTTCTTGAGCAGGGGGACCTTGCGGGCGCTGCAGGATTTCAGTCCTTCATGGCGTAGTGTGTTACCAATTGTTTTCTTGGTGACTATGGTCCCAGCTGCCTTGAGATCATTGACAAGATCCTCCCGTGTAGTTCTGGGCTGATTCCTCACCGTTCTCATGATCATTGCAACTCCACGAGGTGAGATCTTGCATGGAGCCCCAGGCCGAGGGAGATTGACAGTTCTATTGTGTTTCTTCCATTTGCGAATAATCGCACCAACTTTTGTCCCCTTCTCACCAGGCTGCTTGGCGATGTCCTTGTAGCCCATTCCAGCCTTGTGTAGGTCTCTACAATCTTGTCCCTGACATCCTTGGAGAGCTCTTTGGTCTTGGCCATGGTGGAGAGTTTGGAATCTGATTGATTGCTTCTGTAGACAGGTGTCTTTTATACAGGTAACAAACTGAGATTAGGAGCACTCCCTTTAAGAGTGTGCTCCTAATCTCAGCTCGTTACCTGTATAAAAAGACACCTGGGAGCCAGAAATCTTTCTGATTGAGAGGGGGTCAAATACTTATTTCCCTCATTAAAATGCAAATCAATTTATAACATTTTTGACATGCGTTTTTCTGGATTATTTTGTTGTTATTCTGTCTCTCACTGTTCAAATAAACCTACCATTAAAATTATAGACTGATCATTTCTTTGTCAGTGGGCAAACGTACAAAATCAGCAGGGGATCAAATACTTTTTTCCCCCACTGTGTGTGTGTGTGTGTGTGTATATATATATATATATACAGTGGGGGAAAAAAGTATTTAGTCAGCCATCAATTGTGCAAGTTCTCCCACTTAAAAAGATGAGAGAGGCCTGTAATTTTCATCATAGGTACACGTCAACTATGACAGACAAATTGAGGAAAAAAAATCCAGAAAATCCCATTGTAGGATTTTTAATGAATTTATTTGCAAATTATGGTGGAAAATAAGTATTTGGTCACCTACAAACAAGCAAGATTTCTGGCTCTCACAGACCTGTAACTTCTTCTTTAAGAGGCTCCTCTGTCCTCCACTTGTTACCTGTATTAATGGCACCTGTTTGAACTTGTTATCAGTATAAAATACACCTGTCCACAACCTCAAACAGTCACACTCCAAACTTCACAATGGCCAAGACCAAAGAGCTGTCAAAGGACACCAAAAACAAAATTGTAGACCTGCACCAGGCTGGGAAGACTGAATCTGCAATAGGTAAGCAGCTTGGTTTGAAGAAATCAACTGTGGGAGCAATTATTAGGAAATGGAAGACATACAAGACCACTGATAATCTCCCTCGATCTGGGGCTCCACGCAAGATCTCACCCCATGGGGTCAAAATGATCACAAGAACGGTGAGCAAAAATCCCAGAACCACACAGGGGGACGTAGTGAATGACCTGCAGAGAGCTGGGACCAAAGTAACAAAGCCAACCATCAGTAACACACTACGCCGCCAGGGACTCAAATCCTGCAGTGCGAGACGTGTCCCCCTGCTTAAGCCAGTACATGTCCAGGCCCGTCTGAAGTGCATTTGGATGATCCAGAAGAGGATTGGGAGAATGTCATATGGTCAGATGAAACCAAAATATAACTTTTTGGTAAAAACTCAACTCGTCATGTTTGGAGGACAAAGAATGCTGAGTTGCATCCAAAGAACACCATACCTACTGTGAAGCATGGGGTTGGAAACATCATGCTTTGGGGCTGTTTTTCTGCAAAGGGACCAGGACGACTGATCCGTGTAAAGGAAAGAATGAATGGGGCCATGTATCGTGAGATTTTGAGTGAAACCCTCCTTCCATCAGCAAGGGCATTGAAGATGAAACGTGGCTGGGTCTTTCAGCATGACAATGATCCCAAACACACCGCCCGGGCAACGAAGGAGTGGCTTCGTAAGAAGCATTTCACGGTCCTGGAGTGGCCTAGCCAGTCTCCAGATCTCAACCCCATAGAAAATCTTTGAAGGGAGTTGAAAGTCTGTGTTGCCCAGCGACAGCCCCAAAACATCACTGCTCTAGAGGAGATCTGCATGGAGGAATGGGCCAAAATACCAGCAACAGTGTGTGAAAACCTTGTGAAGACTTACAGAAAACGTTTGACCTGTGTCATTGCCAACAAAGGGTATATAACAAAGTATTGAGAAACTTTTGTTATTGACCAAATACTTATTTTCCACCATCATATGCCAATAAATTCATTAAAAATCCTACAATGTGATTTTCTGGATTTTTTTTTCTCATTTTGTCTGTCATAGTTGACGTGTACCTATGATGAAAATTACAGGCCTCTCTCATCTTTTTAAGTGGGAGAACTTGCACAATTGGTGGCTGACTAAATACTTTTTTTCCCCACTGTATATAAGAAAAACGGATTTAAAAAAAATGTCTTGCCTGTTTTGCATGTTATTTTGGCATTAATACGTTCCACATATCAGTTTGCAAACAATAATAATCTTTTTTTTTTTTAAACATTCAGTTAATAAAGCTGCATACAAACATGGTCTCTTTTTTGCTTTCTTGAGTAAGGCAACTCCAAAATGCAGGTGTTTCAGCCTAGCTCAGTGCTTTCTGTGGTGGTGGGGCAGCCAGCGGAAAATACGGAGCGTAGGGGTTGGTAATGTTCTCTAGTTGCGCCGTGATGGGCTCAGTGTTCTGTCACTCATGGGGGACACTACGTCACCGCAAAATCATATATATCCAGTGTTAATACTAAATTGTAATTATTTTGCACTATGGCCTATTTATTGCCTTACCTCCATAACTTGCTACATTTGCACACACTGTATATATATTTTTTTTCTGTTGTATTTTTGACTTTATGTTTTGTTTACCCCATATTTAACTCTGTGTTGTTGTTTTTTATCGCACTGCTTTGCTTTACCTTGGCCAGGTCGCAGTTGTAAATGAGAACTTGTTCTCAACTGGTTTACCTGGTTAAATAAAGGTGAAATAAAATTAATACAAAATAAATATTAGAAGTTCCCATCCAAGAAGGCTCAAGGTCATTAGCCACAGATAAAATGATGTCAAATCACGTTATATCTACCGTAGCTTTGATTAGACTGATCATGTCAACATCATACTTTCAAAATCTTAGCTAGCAAGCTAGACAACCAGCCATCATCATGAAGAGAAATTATAGATAAAACGCATCAGTGCTCATCGGCCATTGCACATAAACATTACACAACAAGTTGGAAATCGCAAATTCAACAATGAGTGGTTTGGAAGGAATCAGTGGCTAACTGCAAGCGTTGCAAAGCAATCACTAGCCGGCTATTCAGTTGAGTGGGTTGGTGGTCCAAGTCTGGGCTTAAGGGTCTATTTTCCAAGCTTAAAAGGATAAACATTCAACACTCAAGTCGGGAACTCTGGCCTCTTTCTAGAGCTCTGACCTGAAGATCACTGACGTCACGATTCGAACCTTGTTTTTTTTCACCAAGTTCCCAGTTGTCTTGAAAGCACCATAAATCCATAGAATGATAGACTTTGATGAAAAAGTTTGATGACAAAAGAAGGACCGCCGCACAACCTTCCTGTTCAAGTGAGCACAGCACAACAAGGTGAGTCCAAAAATTTATTGTATGCTGCTGCATAAATTATGTAATATGCCAGGGAGATTTCTATACTGTAGCTAAGAAAGTAATACTAAGTGTATGTTGTGTCGTAAGCTGTTAGTAGCCCATGTGCCTCACCCTAATAATTTGGTCCCTTTACCCCTCATAATTTAGCCTACTGTTCTGACTTTGCGGTGCATATGTAGCCTATAGCCTGTTTTAGAGAAATGTCATCATTGAATATTGTAAGAGCTTTCATTGTCTGCTTATGTGCCCTTTATTTTATCCTACAGTTCTGACTTGGTGTACAGGGAGAATACTGTAAGAACGGCCCATGTTCTGAATTCTTTCACTGTACATTTCAGAAGTGCTGAACAAATAGTTGACTACGTCCGTCCTAGCTCGCTCATTAATCAAAATTACGGATTGCCTCTCGCCGACCCATTATGCCATAGTTTGTACATCTCAATTGTCAGTAGAAACCAAGTTTGCTTAAGAAAGTCAGCCATATCAGCTATGTTTTTTTTAAAGGCAGTAAATGAGGCTGATTGAACTGTTTCGCTGCCAGACAAGGCTCTGCTGATCGCCAGGTGTAGTAGTGGTAAGGATTCACTCCATGGTGCTGAAAAGAAAGCTGCTGTTGGGACAGCTTTATGTAGGCCCTAACAGTTTGTGGGCACCGTTTGTCACCGTTATAGTGCAATTAATGTATTATTTAGTGTTTTGTAGTGTAGTGGCTTTGCTGGCATGCATCAACAACAACAAAGATGTTGGAGTTTGCCCCACCAAGATTTACATGCTAAAATCGGCACTGCTTGTTTTATTGAGTTTTCACCTGAGCCTGTTACATTCTGAAATTGCCGCCGTATCTTTAAAAAGGGACACTCAACAATGTTCCCCCCCCGCCTGCTCTGAGCCACCGTCCAGGCAAGAAGCATGCAGCAAGAAGCTGATGAACTCACCAGGGGAATTATCAATGTTCTCAGTCGCAATTTTGCGTTTACCTCATACAATAACTTCCACGATATTGATCAAATAAAGCTGGGTTTGTTCTAAGGTAACTTTAATACGCTAAAACTGTACTTGTATATTCGTATGAGAGGGGTAAACGTTCATGTTTGATATGCTAACGTTACTAGCTAGCTAGCAGTGTTATTGTCTTGCAAGCTACATTTGGCTAATGCTTGTACGAACGAGAAAATAAACTTTCATTGTCTACACATGCTTGTGAATTGTTGCATTATTCAAGGCTGTAATATGGTTTGGTTGCATTATTCAAGAGCATAGCCAATATGTTTTAGAAAGGTTGTTCATATTGTTGAATAGTTTGCAAGCTTACTGCCAGCCACAACCAAAGGTTGTAATGTAAATTGAAAAGTGTGTACATATTCTGTCATTTAGAATCTCGTCATGCTGCCTCTCCTTAAATGTTCGTCAATGAGAATAGCCTATATATCACAAAAGTCCTTAATTATACACTGAGTGTACAAAACATTAGGAACACCTTCCTAATATTGAGTTGCACCCCCTTTTGCCCTCAGAACAGCCTCAATTCGTCGGGGCATGAACTCTACAAGGTGTCCAATGCATCCCACAGTTGTGTCAAGCAGGCTGGATGTCCTTTGGGTGGTGGACCATTCTTGATACACACAGGGAAACTTGAGCGTGAAAAACCCAGCAGTGTTAGAGTTCTTGACACACTCATACCGGTGTGACTGGCACCTACTACCATACCCATTCAAAAGGGACTTAAATCTTTTGTCTCGCTCATTCACCCTCAATGGCACACATGCACAATCCATGTCTTAAGGCTTGAAAATCCTTCTTTAACCTGTCTCCTCCCCTTCATCTACACTGATGGAAGTGGACTTAACAGGTGAAGAAAAGAAAAGTGTATGCACTCACTAACTGTAAATCGCTCTGGATTAGAGTGTCTGCTAAATGACTAAAATGTAAATGTAAATAAAGGATCATAGCTTTCACCTGGTCAGTCACATGGAAAGCGCAGGTGTTCCTAATGTTTTGTACACTCAGTGCATCTCTCACAATTTGTAGTAAAAAGCTTCATTTTTCCTCACCTCCACTCAGCATCCAGGTCCTCGCTCATGCTAGAGTCATCCTCCAGGTTGTTGTTGCCGTCCAGGATGAAGAGGCCCGGGTGGACAAAGTGACTCATGCCATCTGGGTCTTCGTCACTACTACTGCCCGGCTCCTCGTTGTACATCAACCAAGGAATCTCCCCCTCCTCCAGAGGGGTAGGCTCCCTGCACACACACAAGGTCTATGTTCATTGTGCACCAGACAGAAGATAACGGACTGAAACGGGGAGGAACTTGTCTAATAAGGAACACTGACTTTCGTTGTGCCCGACCAAGTTTTCACCTTGCTACTGAGAATAAAAGTGTATGTACTGGAAATGTAGGCAGATAGCTATTTATGAAGTTACATACATGTACAGTAGCTCTGGCTTGCTTGCATATCTTAGCTACTTAACTCATCAAAATCAATCTCAACTGATTTAATGTAAGACCTTGCTTGGACAGTGTGCTGCTGTGGCACTTAGCTTAATCGTCATTCCAGCCCACACCCTGGCTCAACATCACAGCATTAACACATGGAGGTGTGTATCTGAGGGCTGGCTGTGCTTACCAATGAAATTATATATACAGTGGGGAGAACAAGTATTTGATACACTGCCGATTTTGCAGGTTTTCCTACTTACAAAGCATGTAGAGGTCTGTCATTTTTATCATAGGTACACTTCAACTGTGAGAGACGGAATCTAAAACAAAAATCCAGAAAATCACATTGTATGATTTTTAAGTAATTAATTGGCATTTTATTGCATGACATAAGTATTTGATCACCTACCAACCAGTATGAATTCCGGCTCTCACAGAACTGTTAGTTTTTCTTTAAGAAGCCCTCCTGTTCTCCACTCATTACCTGTATTAACTGCACCTGTTTGAACTCGTTACCTGTATAAAAGACACCTGTCCACACACTCAATCAAAAAGACTCCAACCTCTCCACAATGGCCAAGACCAGAGAGCTGTGTAAGGACATCAGGGATAAAATTGTAGACCTGCACAAGGCTGGGATGGGCTACAGGACAATAGGCAAGCAGCTTGGTGAGAAGGCAACAACTGTTGGCGCAATTATTAGAAAATGGAAGAAGTTCAAGATGACAGTCAATCACCCTCGGTCTGGGGCTCCATGCAAGATCTCACCTTGTGGGGCATCAATGATCATGAGGAAGGTGAGGGATCAGCCCAGAACTACACGGCAGGACCTGGTCAATGACCTGAAGAGAGCTGGGACCACAGTCTCAAAGAAAACCATTAGTAACACACTACGCCGTCATGGATTAAAATCCTGCAGCGCACGCAAGGTCCCCCTGCTCAAGCCAGCGCATGTCCAGGCCCGTCTGAAGTTTGCCAATTACCATCTGGATGATCCAGAGGAGGAATGGGAGAAGGTCATGTGGTCTGATGAGACAAAAATTTAGCTTTTTGGTCTAAACTCCACTCGCCGTGTTTGGAGGAAGAAGGAGGATGAGTACAACCCCAAGAACACCATCCCAACCGTGAAGCATGGAGGTGGAAACATCATTCTTTGGGGATGCTTTTCTGCAAAGGGGACAGGTCGACTGCACCGTATTGAGGGGAGGATGGATGGGGCCATGTATCGCAAGATCTTGGCCAACAACCTCCTTCCCTCAGTAAGAGCATTGAAGATGGGTCGTGGCTGGGTCTTCCAGCATGACAACGACCCGAAACACACAGCCAGAGCAACTAAGGAGTGGCTCCGTATGAAGCATCTCAAGGTCCTGGAGTGGCCTAGCCTGTCTCCAGACCTGAACCCAATAGAACATCTTTGGAAGGAGCTGAAAGTCTGTATTGCCCAGCGACAGCCCCGAAACCTGAAGGATCTGGAGAAGGTCTGTATGGAGGAGTGGGCCAAAATCCCTGCTGCAGTGTGTGCAAACCTGGTCAAGACCTACAGGAAACATATGATCTCTGTAATTGCAAACAAAGGTTTCTGTACCAAATATTAAGTTCTGCTTTTCTGATGTATCAAATACTTATGTCATGCAATAAAATGCAAATTAATTACTTTAAAATCATACAATGTGATTTTCTGGATTTTTGTTTTAGATTCCGTCTCTCACAGTTGAAGTGTACCTATGATAAAAATGACAGACCTCTACATGCTTTGTAAGTAGGAAAACCTGCAAAATCGGCAGTGTATCAAATACTTGTTCTCCCCACTGTACATACAGTTGACTGATGAATGCAAAGTCTAAGTGCAGTAGTCCCCAGTCCCAATTTGAATACTTTCTATTTAACTACTCCAGATAATGACTCATATCTGCATTACTCCAGATTAGTGCATGCATTTAGACCAGTCTCAAGCAATTGATTGCATTTATCAGGAGTAACTGTATAAGGCTTGTATCATCATAGTGCATTTATCATGAGTGAACTGTATAAGGCCTGTATTATCATAGTGCATTTATCAGGAGTAACTGTATAAGGCCTGTATCATCATAGTGCATTTATCAGGAGTGGACTGTATATAAGGGCTGTATCATCATAGTGCATTTATCAAGAGTGGACTGTATATAAGGCCTGTATTATGGCACTTACGCAGGGGGCAGGCTGAGCTCGGGTACGTCCTCCAGGCTGCTGCTGTTGATGCTGTGCAGCTCGTCCAGGCCGGGCAGAGTCTCCCAGCTTTTCTGACTGGAGTGATGCTCCTTATCCAGGCCAGAGTCCGATGTCCACAATGCCGACCACTCCCCCTCGCTGCACTCAGAGCTGCAGACACACACACGCGCAAACACAAGCACACGGATGTGCAAACAAGCACACACACACACACAAGCGCATGCACACACGCAAGTCCACCTAGTAAACACCCCAACTAATCTGCTTAGCAGAGGTCTTAGCAGTAAACACAAGAGATTCACTAGCAACCTCTGCTTCCTCAATCCTCAGTTGATACTTTATCAGGACAACAGAGAGCTTCATATTCACACTTTCCCAGAAAGGCTTAATAATATTGTGAGTTGCAATGTCATGGATCATCAGAGACCTAGAAAATGCCATGTCTACTTTTATAAATAATTCCAAATGCAGACAAACTAGCCAGCTAATGTTTAACTGACATTTTCCATCACCGCAATCCAATACTTATGATTAGATTTCACTGACCGTATACACACTTGCTGTGTATTAGACTATTTATGAGGGTTTTGTCATATTTTACTAGGCTCCAAGACCAATAAAAAGGTATTACGTAAAATGTCTATATAAGGTATATTTTAATACCTTTCCTCAGCCTTCATGAAAGGAGCACACGTCTCATTGAAGTCCTCCAGATCTTCCCAGATATCCTTTTCATCAACTGAATTCATGTTGCTACCAGTCTCTCCATGTTCACACCACCTCTCTATAGGGCTAAACCTATTCGACTCAGTCTGAGGAAAATCAAAGAGGATCTCCTGGTTTGGCCTTTCTGTTTGCGTCAGAAAGAACGGCGGTGCAGACACACACTTGGTCTTGCTGGACTGTTTGGCTAAGCCACAGTTCGCCTCCTCGCGGTGAGAACTCTTCCTCTTCTCCGGGTGCGTTTCACTCGTCTGCTTACGAATTTTGGGCCTCACCACCATCTCTGACTGGGTCCCTCTCTGGTTGTCGTTCCCCAGCTCAGCAGGACCTTTGGGACCGATGGTAGAGCCACCGGCTGCTAGGTCATCTGGTGTATGGTGGTCCTCAGTGCAGTTTTCCATGTGATCTGTTCCGTTGTGTTCTGATATATTCCTCTCAGGAGGGGGTTCCTCAGTGTTTGAATCTGATCTAGAATCTGTTCTAGAATATTTCACCAACTCAGTGTCTCTGAGGGAACAGTCTGTTCCTTCACACGATTGTGTGTACAAATATGAGTGCAAACCGCTGAGATAGTCAAACTCTTTACCCAGCTCGAAGATCATGTCATCCAGTCTTTTCTGGAGACCGTGAGGCAGGTCGGAGCCCTGCCCCTCCTCCTCCTCCTCCTCCTCCTCCTCGCCTCCACTACTGTCCGGCTCATAAGCATCAATATTTACAAAACTCAATACGCTAGAATTAGAAGGGTTACTGTCCTCGTCCTCGGGGATAGGCCATGCACTGGCTTCAGCACTTTTCTTCAATACATTTTGGTACTGGTCACAGCCTACAGGTTGGTCACTCTTTCGTTTCTTGTAATGAACGGTGTGGGCTTCCGATGACTTCCTAGAAGTTGACTGTTTCTTGTGGGGAGGATCTTTGCCAGATTTGGATTTTACCTCTGGGTGAACCGAATTCGATGACACAGGAAAGATGGCATGAAGCATCGAGGAGATGTTCCCTTTTGAAGCTAGAGGAGGAGAGGGAGGCATTTAGTTACAGCTAAAACACAATTAAAACTTCCATGACTTGTAAATACACAATGATTACACTTGTTAAAAGAGAGAGGAGAGAACAGAGCAGAGGGAAAAGAAAAGAGCTGTCCTTGTTTGCTGAATACAGACGTAGCATGCAGCAGCTCCAGCTAGACATATTTTATTAAATAGCAGAACAAGGGATTCATAGGCTTAGCTGCTCACACTGCATTCCATGTCACAGGATAAATCGATCCAAACCTCACGCTACGCAGTGGGGTGCAGCACTCACTCACATGCTGCTGCTCACTACAGGAGCTGCTTACTGGTCTGCCATGGATGATGTCACAAAAATAATAAACGTAACTTTTATTGATTTGCTGACCTTGTTATTGTTAACATGCAGAAATATAGGCCTGTATCATTGCTTGAAAGAGAAAAATATGCTCTTCAGACTCAAATAGCTTACATCTTGTCCCTCAGCTAATCAATCCACTGCAAATGGGACTTAATAGATGGAGCCTAATAGATGTATTGCACCATGAACGTACGTATGGAATGCGCTCTATGGACACCGTCCATTTCCGTATCTGGCCAATCCTCCACACTGGCTGGGTTCCTGTGCTTGGCAGAGGTTGGGCGGAAGCTAACGTATGCATGCCTCCTGCCGTATCTCCTTCCTGTTATTGTCTGATATCCACCAGCTGGTTTGGGCCAGGCTGGCTTGCCAGTTTCCTGACCCATCACTAGAGAGAGAGGAAATAATAACATTGAAACACACAGCGCCAAACTAAAAGTTGCAAAGAGTGAGTGATGGTTTAATCAAACCTGAAAGTAGACCTATTGTGAAAATATACCTATTGTCTGAAAAGAGGGAGGGGGAGAAGAACTGCAACTTTGAGCTTTGATCCATACAAAATACAGAACTGTAAAGATACCAGAAACATTGCTGCAATCCATTACAGTTGTGGAGGGCTTCTTTACACTTAAAAGCGAAATCACTAAAATATGATTAACATGACATGAAAGAAAAGTCAACAGTCATGGTCTTGCTAAAATTCTTGTTGACCTACAAAATGTGATTGAAATTGAGATGAAAGGAAAGGCAGAATTTATATAATACCAAATTCAGTACTACAAGCAGTGCTATGAAATTATCCCAAGAAAGTATGATATGCCTCTCTCTTGCTGGGTTCAAATCAAATCAAAATGTATTTGTCACATGCGCCGAATACAACAGGTGTAGACCTTATCATGAAAAGCTTACTTACAAGCCCTTAACCAACAATGCAGTTCAAGAAATAGAGTTAAGAAAATATTTACTAAATAAATTAAAGTAAAAAATAAAATTAAAAGTAACACAATAAAATAACAATACCGAGGCTATATACAGGGGGGTACCGGTACCGAGTCAATGTGCGGGGGTACAGTTTAGTCGAGGTAATTTCTACATGTAGGTAGGGGTAAAGTGACTATGCATAGATAATAAACAGCAAGGAGCAGCAGTGTTAACATTTCGTTACATAACATGCATTATCATCATGCATGCATGCCTTGTGGAAGTGACCAACAACATGACTTGCATAAGGTGCAACTCGACTTGATAGCCAGCTAATGACAAACAAGAAACATTTAGCTAGATTATGGCGCTAACTAGACAGCTACGATTGAAACTGAATAAGCAATCTTGTAGCTAGTTAGCTAGCAAGCTGCATAATTATTGCAACCGGCTTGCCATTGTTGTCTAGCTTGGTTGCGATGTTATTTTAATGTCGTCATTAGCTTGCTAGCGAATTGCACTGCACACAAGCAAAATATAGCTACTTTACGATTCAGAGTTTAATAGTCACATGTACAGGGTTGCAGGTGTGATTGCAGGGTAGTGAAAATATTAGGCTCCAACATACAGGACTAAGTGAAATAAAGTAATGAAAACAGTAATAAATAAATAAAAAGATATAGAAATATAACTATATACACATCATAACTGTAGCAGTGAATAATAAATAAAATGTCCATTGGGGTGGAGGCAGAGTAAAGACTTCAGGAGGTGGAAATTGTTGACCATAGGGGGAGCAGCATGACCAAGTGAAATACAAACAAAAAATATAATGGGGGGGGATGTCCATAGAGGGAGTAGCGGGTAGCTAGCTGACTAACGTTAGTGGTGGCTATTCAGCAGCCTGATGATGGTAGCTAGAAACTATTGGCCCCGATACGAGAACAGTAACGTTAGTCAATATAGCTAGCTAGCTACATGGCTGCTAGTTCACAGATTATTAGTGTGTATGTATTTTCGTAAAATAACACTTTTTTTTTTGTAGATGGAACTTGGAAAAACATTTGGCCCTGGCCTAACGGTAGCTAACAACTGTGTTGTGTTATGCTAGCTAACGTTAGCTAGCTTGTCAAAAAAGCTTCCTCTTCTGGTTGTCAACAATACATGCAGTAAACTAGTTGGCTACTGTAGCAATTTTCAAACGGCAAGGGATAAAACGGTTCAGTTGTTATCAAACATTACCAATCACCATATTTTCAACTAGCTTGTTTATTTTAATCTATATCGACATCAAATACAAAACATGGTCGTTGTATTACCTGTCCCCCAGGCTTTCTCTCCGTCCGAAACTGCGAACAAACCTATAAGCCAACGTCATCCGCAAAGAGTGTCATTTGACCGTCTTTCCCCCAATCAGAACGGCCGAGACTGCATTAGCAACAAGAGTGGTGAGGAGAAGTACTTTTCCGGAGGCGATTTCACCATTCATTTTCTGGATTCAGGTTCACTCAAACATCGTTTTAAGTTTTGTTTTACTATTGGCAGTTACAGCTGATTTCGGGATTGTATATCGATTCGCTCCTTTAATACTTGTCATCTGATGTATTGGTTTCAGTCTCTGAATTGCTTAATAGAACTTTTCGCAGCCAGCTCCTGGGGCCTGTTGCACAAAACTAGGATAAGGGATTAAGCCAGGATATCTTGGTGATCCTGGCTCAATTGATCCGTAATCCGGTTGCACTAAAGATGGATAGGGGGCAGGAGGATATGTTATGGTATAAATTACCATGGAGATTTATTCTGTGGAGCTAGCCTGCTCCAGACCAGGCTAAATTCCAGGATCTATTTAATCTCATCCCTAATGTCAGTCAGCAGCATGGGCGGTGTGTTCAATAGGGCGATATGGGCGACGCACTGCCAAACGGGAAAAGGAAGGGATTTTTTTTCTAATCAATTATATCATGGCAACAGTAGTTCAGTGTTCACGTCTGATCTGCCAGCCACTAAATGTCCAATCAGGCTAAAGTCGTGCTTCAAATGTCCCCGCCCGTTTTGGGGCGATTTCAGTCAGGTTGAAAATCGCCCAGAAGTCTCTCATAGCCTCTAATGTAAAAAAAATTTTTTTCAAATTTCTGAGCTTTCAATACATTCTCTATGGGTGTCTGAGGGCTTGCACTTACGCGCTTTCGTCATACGTAACGTAACGTAACCATGAACGGCAGACAGCAACGCTTGGACAGCGACTGGTGTAACCGACATGCACCATCTTTCAGAAAAGATTAAGTAAAATGAGCTGTCAAAGACCCACATTGATAGCTGTTTGAGATTGTCTGCTTTGGTGAGAGTGAATATTGCCACTCAACTGGATGAGGGATACAGGCTAGCTGTCCGCCGCCACAACGATGAGGTTAGCAACAGCAGAGTCGTGAACACTGTCTACGAGAATCGAGACGACCTCATAGAATGTTTTGAAGCCATCCGGACGGGTTCATTGGGTTCATTTGACCAGCCCACCGTACCAGAAGCTACAGAATAAGGACATCGATGCTGTCTTTATCAAACGTGCCCTCGACAGCTTCGCAAGCAGTGTGCAGGCCATAAGGTAAGATAAAGATTAAACAATATCATTCGATCTTTCTCAAAGCAGAGCTTTATTTGAAAATGTATGCATGAAAGGAGACTGCATTTGTGTTTGAAATTACATTATTGTCATTATATATGGCCAGTGGTGTAATCTATCTTATTTTATATACTATGTGTACTGTACAGTGGTGCTCATAAGTGTATGAACACATTCTAAAGCTGACTAAAAAGAGGAATAAAAAAATAAAAAAATCATCGTTTGGAAATTGATCTTAATGACTTAATTAAAAAAGTTGGAAAATCCAACCTTTAAGGACACCAATTTTATTTTCTTTTTTATTCCTCTTTTTAGTCAACTTTAGCATGGGATCATAAGCTTATGAGCACCACTGTATACTGTGCTGAACATCCAGGCTATGTGAGACACAAAGGCTAACTTAAACACTAAAGACTTTATGCATCCCTGCCCATTTTAAGTGGAACTGAAGTATTTGTACTATACATGGATACATTGCATATACCTGTGCATCACATAGACAACAATACTGTACAAAGCCAACAAACACATTGGTCTGTTTGCCTTCAGGGACTCCTCTCAACAGCAGCTGCAAGAAGCAACAGGAGCCAAAAGACCCAGAACAGCTTTGAGAGAAGAGGAGAAGCAGAGGATGTCTGAAGAGGTCTGCAACACCATCCTGGATCACACCAAAGAAAGGTTCTCTTTCTCTGGCCACCTTGTGAGTGCTACCTTACTGCAAGCAGACATGTTTGAAAGGTACTGCCATTCAAAAAAATAAAAAATCTGTTCATGTTCATTTTTACAAATCTATACAATTGGCCAGAATATGGTTGTTCATATTTACAAATCTATACAATTGGCCAGAATATGGTTGTTCATTTTTACAAAGCCATACATATTGTTTATGCAGTGTTGAGGAATGTGAAAGAACACCCTTGATTATTTTTACTGTGATAACTTATTTTGCTTTTGTAAGCCAACACTTTTGAGATCAGTCAATAAATGCTTCTGGTATTGACTTATATGCTGCCCCTGTCTTCATGTTGTTGCTGGACATATCTTTTTAAAAATGTGTGTAGGTCACCTAAATCATCAGAAAAATTGCCCCTCCTGAGAATTTTTTCAGGAGCCGCCACTGGTCAGCAGTCACCACAAATGGAAACCAATAGTTATTTCACTGCTCACTATACATTGTTATCACATATAACTAGACCCACTGTCATTATTTAAACGTTTGTGATCATTAATTTCAATGATTTTGGATAAAAAATGATTTTTAGATGATGTTGCTATCATTAGATAATTTACAGTTTCCCATAGACTATAAGGCTATATATAAAATGATAGAATATTAGGGCCACAGAGGGGAAAAAAACACAAGTCATAATATTGTAACCAGTTGTTTTAAAGGAGGACAGTTGTTAAAATGACAGATGTGGGGCATTTCGTGAAATTGTACTTCAGTATGGTTTCATAAACAAAGACATGCTGATGTGCCAGAATATGAAGTATCACATTGTCATAAGTATCAAAACTGTAAAAACAATATGTAGCTTTTCTGCAGAAAGAACCAGCCTCATAAATTTATGACTTTATCCTTTTTCTTCAGTGTGGCCCTAGTACTCTGTCATATAAACAAATACACATTCCATATGAATATAAAAACACAATGTGTAACATTATGTTCCTTTATTGAATAAGGACAAAACAAAGCAGGTAAACCATCAGCTCCTTTCGAAACTGAAGTCACAGTGACTCTACAAGATGGAAAGCACAGAATCCAAACATATTATACAAAATGATACATACACATTCAAAGGTCTGTATATAACACACCCTGCATGTCTGCACACTAAAATAAATGC